TTACTCGTAAATTGGGGGTACCACTGTATAAACAAATATATTTATATTTATTAATTATATCATCTAATTGTGTAAGGTGAATGTTGGATAAGACTTCTGCAAAATATTAATAGGCTATGTATTCATAAAGCAAGTGATTTAATTAGTAAATGGATGTCTTCAGAAATTTCAACAATACCGTAGCGGCATATACAGAGTTACATCTGGGTAAAGGAGAGCCAAATGATTTTCTAACTTGCCTTAAAAAGTATTTGCGAGCTGTTTATTGAATATGTCCTAGAACAAGTAAATTTTCACAAGTAATCATATACATTTACAATTATTTTTGCAATTATATAAAACTATTTTTTCAGTCCAAAAAGAATTTTGATAATGAACCAGTATTAGAACACTGTTTATATATACTGAACAAAAATTATGATAAGCCTTTGCCACCTATAAATGGTGTGTTGCCTTCATGATCTGTATCATCATAATGAACTATATAGAGTATACTGCATTAATATAGCTTCAAAACAAATGGTTTATATCAGGTTCAGCTAAAAGATTATTGAAAATTATTTGAATGATTTTGATCCCGAAAACATAAGGTTAATGGAATATCTCCATGAAATAATCTCCACCTTTATTTAGATAGATTTATAAATTTCAAAATTTATCTCTTTCGTAGTTTGAGAAATAGTAAGCATATTTAAAAATTTACCAAACTTCTGTAAGTTTCTTCAACAAACGCTTTGAAAAAGGTCATTGTCAATACACTAAATTTTTCACTAGATAAAGCATTATCTAATAATGGAAATGAAATGATGATTAAATTATTTGAACAATTGCTTGAAACATATCAGAATGACCTTTAATATCTGAGGATATTCGGGACGACAATAGAGTTATGGTAGCACAACCATTGAAAGTTAGTAGATAAAATCCATCAAGATGATAAGGTAAATACATCCGTTATTAGTATTATCAAATATTTGTTTTACCTAAGAACAGTTTCTTTTTTTTTAGTTATTTACAAGTCTACCAATTGTTGTCTAGAACTACCAAATTTTATATTTGATCGCATTTCATCTCCAACTATTTGGTGGGAAACCTCAGCAACTAAATTTTGCAAAGCAGTGATCATTGATCAGCAATCAGTAAGCAAAATGATGAAAAAGCTTTAATTTAGCAAGAACTAATGTAAATCCAAAATGATTCGAAAACTTTAATTTGGCTGATGAGTGATGATTTATTGATGCTGGTGTTTCTGAATCCAATGAACAACAAAATTATATTTTAAAAAAATAATATCAGTCATGCAACAAAGCATGATGAAACTTTGTTGCCAGTAAACTGTGATTGGTGTTTGGGCTGATGGAGACAAACAGGCAGAATTAGTAAAGTTGAAAATGATAAATCAAACACTCCGCCTAAGAATGGCTTACACTTCTTATGTGATGTGCTTATGGTGACTTTAGAATCTTTGAGTGGTGCTTTTTACTTAGTATCAAATAACCAATAGATTTTTCTATTAAATTCAAATTGTTTCCAGTAGCGATTAGTATTCTTAGTAAACAAGCTCGATGGAAAGATACAATAGAACAGGTGATGAAACAATCATTTTTTTTTTTGAGCTTTATTCTTTTTTGACATCAAAATTTACCATTTTAAAGTATAAGCAATCAATAACTCATCCTGAGATCTTTGCAAGATAATAAAGTGCATTTTTTTTTAAGTATATAAAATAAATAATTTATTAATTTGTCATTTATGTGCAAACTTAATAATTTCCTAATTCATACAACACTTATTATAAATTTCAGGTCATTGAATGGCTGTATTTCATGACATTGTCAACAATGATAGCACCAAATATCTAAACGCTTTTCAAAAAGCTCTTATTGCTTCTAAATCACATGAACATTTGGAAAAAAAAACATCTTTGGAGTAAAGTGATACAAGAAAGTTACTTCAAGATTCGTTAAATACATCACATAAAAATATATTTTGTTTTATAAGGAATGTAGTTTTTTATAATTAAAAAAAATAATTACATTTGACTCATTTTATCAAAATAATCATCAAACCCTGTAAACGTTTTTTAATCTTTTTCTGATCATCTAACGCACAGCCCAAAATAACTTTCTCAAATGTTTTGTCTACTGGCCCACCAGGTTGCGAAATGCAAGCATTTAGGAATGATTCACATTTGGTTCTAGATTCATTCCAATTTGATCTGGCAGTCAGTACAATGTTGTCAATAATGGCATTTACCTATGATTTACAGGTTTTGAATATCAAAAATATCAAACACTTTATTGAAATTTAAAATATACCAAGTAAGATAAAAAAAAAATATTATTGGTAAATTACATTAAGAATTACCTGATGTAATGCTTCTTCTGTGTGATATCTCTATTTGTCCGAATTGTCAGTTCTTGTGTGACATCGAGATAAAACTCTGTCACAGTAAAAATTACCTCATCTTTCTCATCTACAATATGTAAAATTGTTTGTTATATATATATATATATATATATATTATATATATATTGTATGATTCTGAATTTGATGTTGACATATGTATTAACAAAGTCTAGTATTCGGGTATAACATCAATAAAAAACCTGAATTTCTTTCAAAAATTTATTTACGTGCATACTAGCCTTCATTCAATGATAAAATTAGTTAATCTTAGTATTAAATTGGAAGATTTTATAAAACCATGGCATCAGGATATGGTAATGCACTACACTATGTAATAAACATTAAACTTGTAATTAAACAATATTTCACAAAGTACTAATTTTAAAAAATCACAAATAGTGTGTAATATATGTGTTGTTCTTAGACTGGTTGAAGATATATCTTCATATAATGATATATAGATTACAATATCCTGATACCATAGAATACTAAAATCTTCCAATTTAACACTAAGATTAACTAATTTTTCCACTGAATGAAGGCTAGGATTATAGCTGAAACATATGGATGTAAAGTAAATTTCTGAAAGAAATTCAGGTTTTTTATTGATGTGTGCCCGATTACTAGACTTTGTTAATATATATATATATATATATATATATATATATATATATATATATTATTTATATTTGATATAATTTGTACATACTGTATCTCAGTCAGACAATTGTTCTGGTATGAGAGATCATGGCAATTATAACAAAAATAAATCTAAATTTTATGTATTATAATATATAATATATAATAATATAATATATAGCAAACCCAACGAACTCCGTTTCGCCACCAGATGTTTTCGTGAGAACGATGAAGAAATTTTTTGTTTGTTTTATATTTGAAAAGGAAAAATATGATTTTATTGCACAACAGTAATGAATTTATTTCGATAACAAAAATGAAGTGTTTTTAGTTGAACTTCTCTAAGTAAATGAAAGTGAATCCCCAAATTATCCGTTTCATGGAAGTGATCTTTGGAAACCACATTTTTTGTTTTTTGGGTCTGACGTTAACACAAACAAAGCGGATGGTTTTCTAACTCGTGAACAGGCAACGTATAACTGCCTATGTGAAAAACAATGATTTTCTAAATAATCTATTTGAAATTAAAAATAGCAAACACTAAGCGATTGGCCTTGCGACTTGTTATTGCGAACGCAAGGCGAACTGGAAATTGCATTCGTTTGAAGTCAAACCAAATCGCAAGCAATTTTTGATTGAATGGTGAAATTCAGTGCGTGGTACATCATTATACTTTGCGGCAAGAATTGTTCGTTGACTTAACAAGCATAATTCTGATAATTCTCACTAATGTCATTACTCGAATTTTTAATTACGGTGCGTGAAGTTCCAGCAATTTGCATTAAGGCACGATGCCATGCACCACTAATTTCTTAGCTATAAACCTTGCGGAGCCCGAGTTCTTTCCAACAAATGCAAAATTGTCGAAATCGGTTCGTGCGTTCTGGAGTTATTTCGTCAGGAAGAAAAACCCGACTTATTTTATATATATATATATAGAAGATATATATTGATTGTTTCTTTTCCGAACAGTAAATCCAATAATAAAAAAACAATTTGTTTTTTGAAGATGTTTAATAACGGCATTTTGGAACTAGATACGTTCCATCGTCAGGTTTATTCTGTCAAAGACAATGTTTTTTTGACAACCATTAACTAACATTAATTAATGATGGTTTTTAAAGATTATTTAGAAAAATTATAAATACCAGTGTAAAGAGTAATGAAAATTAACTAATTTTAAAAGTTTCATATAAAATTGAGAAGCAAAAATTATTTACCTGTAATAAATTTATATATCCATTCACTAATATCTTTTGGTAAAAAACTAATTTTTTTTGTTCATTCCCGAGAATATTTGTAAATGTTTTTAACTTCACGAGACTTTGTTAACACACTGTAATGGAATTCTGTTGGCCAGATGTAAGAATATATACGGACTTAGGCAAAAAATTTTTATGGTTCTTGTATTGGTAATTTTTGAAAAATGGGAATCTATGCCTAAGCAATTCTGAGAAATATTATTATGTATATATACATGTACATACATATACAACCTACACACATACATGCACATACAATTCTATATATTCATGTATATACAATTTATATATTCATACATACAATTATATACACGAACATAAACGCAAGTAAATGTATATAGTGTATATACAAAACATACATACAAGCACATATATGAATGTGTATAAATTATTACATATATACATGTATGTATACACACAAATTAATTCAAAAAACAAATTTTTATTATTCGATTTACTGTTCGGAAAGGAAACAAATATATTGAAAAATCCAGGACTTATCTATTGAGTATTATATATATATATAATATATATAATATATATATATATAAAACATTAATATTAATATTTACATTCATCTAAGTCACTCATGCTCTCTGAATTTTTCAAAGAATCAAGTGTTGCAAGCAATCCATCTTTCCTCTTCCAGTCGAGCAGCCTCTCTTCTTAAACGTTCTACATGAGTTCTAACTGATCCAAAGAGACTGAACAAACCTAATTAAATATAATATTTTAATTTTGTGAATGATATGATAGACAGAAAAGGATGAAATTGAAAATATATTTTTGATCAACATAACTTTCAATATATTTATTTATCAATAAAGTTATGTATGTGTGTAAATATATTCTAAAAGATATTAGATATGTATTTTTATTAAAAATTAAAATGAGAGATTTATATGAATTATATACCTCTCTTTTGGAGGGCTGATCAGATTCAGCTTCATCTATACGAGGTAAACCTGTCAATGCTGATGGAGAACTTGGTCCTGGAATATTAGTTTCAGTATTTGGTGGAATGCATGCAGAACCTTCAACTTCCATAACTCTAAAAAATAAATTGTAATTTTCTAACTATGTATATAGAATATCTAACTATAAAACTTTTTGCAATAATACTTTGTAATTTTGGCATTTGCGTCCATTTTTCACATTATCTGAGAAATGATACATACCAAGATATCGAAAGCAAATAATACAGTATATTTAAAGAATTGTCAGCAAAAATATCAGTATTTATTGTATTTGAAAATAAAACTTAGAAGACAAAAAATCAACTTCTGTAATTACGTTTTGATTATTGTTAACCCTGCTGTGAAATGCGTGCATATATTCAAATGGTTACCAATCGTTCTAGTCAGGTGGTTGTCAAAATAATCTTGAAGTGCTTCAAATTATATTTATACATATATTTCACTCGAAATTAAAATGTTTGAAGACGCTGAAGGATTTTCCGAGCTTTTTAAAGGCTATTTACCTTATTATTTATTAATTGCTCTACCTATTTTTATAATTATTTCACCGACTCCAGTTTTATCCTCACATGAATTTAGTGCCTACCGCATGCATCAATACGATTTACATGGAAATACTTACGGTAAGAGTATTTATATATTATTAAATCTTTGTAGAATAAAATTCCATCCGAAAAATCCCACAGAAAATATCTTTCATTTTGTATAGGTTAGGTAGTGAAAAGTAATCCTTTGGAAGGATTTTTATTGCATCTATCCACGTCATTTTACTTTATTAAGGGCTAAACATTGTTACCTCGATTTTTTTTGTATGTTAATAATAAAATTAATGTAATAAATGGATAAGTTAAAAGCTGCAAATTATATTTGAAGTTCATTTACAAATTATGCAAAATATTAAACTATAACTTTAAGCCCTGAATTGTTAAGGAATATTATGAAATTATTATGTATTCATTTACATATTAAATTATTTAAATAATTATTGTAATAGGTTGTCGGAGTTCTGCTATAAATTTAGAAGCACGATCTTTAGAGGGGTATCGAACATCAAGGCATTGTGTTGTTGTCAGTTTGCAGGATTTAACAGTTGAAATTTTTCATAATTTGCAAAGCAAAGCTGGTGCATTACTTATTGTACTACCAGAAACTTTGAATAATTTAACAGTAGAAGAAAAACAGGTTTGTGTTATACATTTTCACATTTATTTGTTATTTATTATATATATTATGCATTCCTTTAACTTAATATATATATTTTTTTCTATTATTCATTATTATAAATTATATTTTTTATTCAATAAGATAAGCAATTTATTTTATCATGAATTTTATATTCCAGGTTCTTATGTTATTAGAAGGATCTATGCTTACACAAGATGTTTCAATTCCTGTATATTTTACTACATGGTCTCAAGATGTTGATTCTATACTCAATGATATTAATGATGTAGGAAGCATAGATGATAAATCTAAACCAGCTCTTGATTCAATAATAAATTCTGTTGCTGCTAATGGATATCAAATAGTAGTATCCGGGGGATCCCATGCACAAAAATCTGATATTAAAGTTGTAACTTTGCAAGGAAATTTAAATGGCCAACCAGGATCTGATGGAAAACTGCCAACTATTGCGATTGTAGCTTATTATGATAGTCTCGGGGTTGCACCTGTAAGTTCATGAAATTAATATAATTCGTAAAATATTTGAACAAGTAATGTTTTTCAGGAAATGTCAATGGGTGCTGATTCAAATGCTTCTGGTGCTAGTGTTTTATTAGAATTAGCTAGGATATTTTCCCATTTATATTCAAATGTTAATACAGTTGGTCATTATAATTTAGTATTTTTATTAACCGGTGGGGGTAAATTAAATTACATGGGCAGCAAGAAATGGCTTGAAGACCAATTAGATTCACTTGATGGTTCTATCATTCAGGTATGTAAATTTGACTATTTTATAGAATTATTATAGATTATATCAATTATGAGATTTTCTGTATTTTAGGACGCCACTTATATAATGTGTTTAGATAATGTAGCCTCAGGAAACTCTTTGTATATGCATGTATCGAAGCCACCTAAAGAGAACACACCAGTAAACATCTTTTATAAAGAACTCAAATTAGCTGCTGGCAAATATCAGTCAAATAATCAGGTGACAATTGAAGGTATACATAAGAAAATAAATCTTGCAGATGATATATTGGCTTGGGAACATGAGCGATATAGTATTCGCAGATTACCTGCTTTTACTTTATCAACAATAAAGGTATCACTTTATTCATTAATCAAATGATATTTACTGAATTAATGTCATTTATTTAAGAAAATGTTATTTTATCTAGAATTATAAGGATCAAAAACGATCAACAATATTGGACCGTACAGACACTATATCTATAGAAAAGTTAGCTTTACATACTCAAATAATTGCTGATGCGTTAGCAAGTCAGATATATAATATTTCTTCAAGTCAAATTTTTAGCAATTCACTGGTAAATATTAATTTTATAGCATATATTTTATTATTAATTAATTAATTAATTAAATTTTATAGAAGGTTGAAAAGGACTCTTTGAAATCTTGGATGGAATACATTGGAAAGCAACCAAGATCTGCCCAGTTGCTTTGTGATAAAAATAATGCTCTTGTTTCAGCTTTAAAAGAAGGAATGAGTAAATACTTGAAAGATGTTAAAGCTACAGTATTAACACCAGATAAAAGGGATCCAGAATTCATGTTGTATGAAGGCTCTAAAGCAATATTAAATATCTATCGGTATGTACATATATTATAGACATCAATTTTGTATTTTCTAATCTAAACTGTTTCACCTTAAATATAATGTTTATTTTCAGGGTTAAACCAGCTATATTCGATTTGGTTCTTACTATTGCTATTATTGCATATTTAGGAATTATTTATTTGTTCATACAAAACTTTTCTATATTATATAATTTTGTTTGTAAATTAACAGAGTCCAAAGCAAAAATTAATTGAAATTTATATTATTTATTAAGATGATCATAGTCTATTTATTACATCTGTACAAATCATTCAGATAAAATGTAGTATGTCGTTTCATAGGGCTTTATACTGAATAAGCTGAAAATATATCATAAACAATGATGGATTTTATTATTTTAAAATGTATTATTATAACTTTATTATATTTTAATAGCTCTATTTGAAATGACATTTCTCAATCCGGTTTAGACTTTTTTTGTGGTGGTTCTTCTGTTTGATCTAATTTTCCATCTTTATCACTGCTAAATATTGGTTTAGGTTGAGTTTTGCTATAAGCTGGAGCTATCCAATATGGATTTTCTTCAGCTTCTTTTGCATACTTAAGAATTGCTTCTCTTGGATCTTGATCATCATCAACTCGTTTGCTTAAACCCAAATTACGAATAACATAAGAACTAAGAGTGCTTCCAGAAGAAGCAACTCTGCCGCCTTGACCAGAAGTAATTGGCAGGTCTGGACGTCTGGATTTAACTGGATCCAATCTGTCTTTTTCCATTTTCTTTTTTGTGGTTTTAGATCTTTCTTGCCTAAACATAGGTAAAGCGTGAGGTGTTATCACTTGAACTTCACTAATGCTCTCGACATTCTTTTGTTTCCTATGCATTTTAACAATGCATAATTTAGCACCTCTCATACTCATATTATTATCAAAGTAGCACTTTACCAACCCGTTGCCACATCCTACAAATATTTGATTAAGTTTTGGATGCCATAATGTCTTTATTACATGAGAAGTAGTAACAGGAACTTCTGTCACAGTTTCAAATGTGTGTGTATTATAAACCATCAATCGGGCCTCATTTTTTCCTTTGTTCAACGACTCCCCAGTAATCAGCATTGAATCATCAGGGCTGAACATACAATCTGTTGTATCATATCTAGAGTATAGATTATCAGCAACATGTACAGGTTTTTTAAAAAATCTTATATCCCATAATTTCATTGTATCGTCACAACTCCTAGTAGCAAAATAAGATCCTAAATATGAAAAACTTAAAGAGGAAATTTCATTATTCTTCATATGTGCATCTCTTAAAAGAAAGGCTGTATTTACAAAGTTTTTTCTATGATCCCAAATTTGTATTGAACCATCGTAACATCCACATGCAATTAGATTTCCATCACGATTGTAAGAGCATGTTGTTGGATTTGCTTTTAAACCTCCTTGGGTTCTTGCCTTCATAATATTTTTATGTTGTTTTGGATTCTTCAGGTTCCATAGTCGGCAAGTACCATCTTGAGAGCAAGTTAAAAACTCCTCTTTTACAGAAGGATGCCAAGAACCACAATTCAAGGAAGCTGTGTGGCCTTTTGTTCTCGATTGATCTGCAATATATTGATCACCTTTTATGCATTCAACTTTTTCAAAACCATCTCTATCAAGAACTTTAGCTTGCGATGTTCCTGATATTACAAGTATAAGATCACCAGTACTTGAATATTCTAAACATCTTATAGGATACGTTTCACAAGGCTGCAATGTGCGGAAAGACTTCATAGAGTTATCCATACCAGCAAAATCCCAAAAAGATACATTATAATCAATTGAGCCAGATGCTAGCCGAGCTCCTGAAGGATCAGCAGCAATTGCAACAACAGCTTTTGTGCCATGATTCATATTCACCTCATGGGATAAAGGTATACGGTTTATTAAAAGTTTTTCATTAGAATCATCTTCATCTGAGTCACTTAAATCATCATAACTGTCTTCACTTTTATCGGATTCCACAGTTTTATCAGCATTTTCAGATGTTAAATTGGAAGGTAAGGGACCTACAATATCACTCTCTTCTTCAGAATCATCTTTAGTATTATCTTTAATTATATCTTTAGTTTTATCTCTAACAGTTTGATGAATTTGCTTCACCATTTCTTCTACATCAAAAGTTTTTGCTTTGCGGCCAAACCCGGTAATTCCCATAGTTTCTTTAACTTTTTGCGTTTCAGGATCCTGTGGAATACTTTCAGTTTCAACGGAATTAGTGCTGGTGCCCCCAAATTTTCCAAAGCCATTCTGTATAACAATATCATTTCGGTTTTCAGATCCCCTCATAAAATTTGATCCAATTTTCCCAAATGCTATTTTTTTTCGTTGCATTGTTATATATTATATGCCACTTTTATTGCTAAATATATACAAATATAAGAAAATTGTTTATTTTCAAGTTAATCAAACATCTTTTATGACAGTTCTGCTGCAGTGTTAAGCAGGTTCACCAATATGATAATGTCTATGTCAGCGTTCGGCAACATATCTGCATTTTATAAAAGAAATGTTTTGAGCACATTTTGGCTTAAATTATGTATCAATTTTGATAATACTATACTTTTCATGTTTTATTTTGTTAAAATAATATACCCTAATAAATCTAAATATGTTAAAAATGTAATGAAATTTTGTTACATCATATTTTGCAGCATATTTCGGGTTGGCGACTGCTGATATATATTTTAACTCATAATTTGTGAGAAAAGATAAGTCAGATTTCGTTATCTTATTTATTTTCATATTACATTATAAATAAATACAAGCCATTGAAACCATAATTGTATATCTTATCATTAACGTAGTCAACATATTCACATATGAATCATCGATGAGCCGTCTCTCCAATCGCTTCAGTTCTCTTTAAACCCAACCTATTAACAATGGCGGCGGATGGTGACGAATTAATAAGTGACCAAGAAAAAGTTAGGATAGTATCAGATTTTATACTCCACGCTCCACCTGGAGAGTTTAATGAAGTTTTTAACGACGTTAGGGAATTATTGAATAATGATAATCTACTCAAAGAGGGTGCCTCTGGGGCCTTTGCTCAGTACAATAAGGATCAGATGACACCCGTCCGAATTGACAACTCAGACCATCAGGTGTTAATAACAGAATATAATGATCTTGGTAAGATTTTAATTAATTTAAAACATATAGCCTTTTGAAAGTTTTTTGAATGTACATAATGAAATTTTAAATAATTGTGTCATTCAAAATACTAGTTTTAAAAGCTATAATTGATGACATTTTTATATATGTCTAGGTAATGGTCGATTTTATGATGCCCGTTCCAAACAATCTTTCAAGTATGATCATCTTCGAAAAGAAGCATCTGATTTGCAAAATCATGAACCAGAATCATCATGTGAAGCTCTTCGTTCAGCTTTGGATCTTGAGGTAAACAAATGCAAAATAACTCACATTAATAAAAATATATTTATTTAGTGTATGTAATTCTTTCTTAGGTGACAGCATATTGTGCAAGCCACTATAAACATGGTGTTAGTTCTGTGTTTGGCAAAGTTAGTCAAGGAGTTACTGCAATAACTGCTTGCATGGAAGATCATCAATTTCAACCCAATAACTATTGGAACGGCCGATGGAGATCTCAGTGGATTTTAAATATTAATCCTTCAGGTGGTAGTGCCGAACTACGAGGAATACTTAAGGTTATTATAATTTGTGCCTCATTTATTGTAGTTTTTGACATTAATTTTTGATAATTATTTTACTAAATATAATTAATTACTAAATTTTACAGGTGCAAGTTCATTATTATGAAGATGGAAATGTTCAGTTAGTGAGCTCTAAAGAAATAAAAGAAGCAGTTGTAATATCTTCTGATACTAATACTGCACGTGAAGTGATTAGAATTATTGAAGAGTCTGAGCATTGCTATCAGAAAGCAATTTCTGAAAATTATCAAACTATGTCTGACACAACATTCAAAGCCTTGCGAAGACAACTTCCAGTGACAAGAACAAAAATTGATTGGAATAAAATGATTTCTTACAGTATTGGAAAAGAATTAAGAAGCCAATGATATCCAGATATTGTTAAATACCCAAATGTAATCTGAGGTGCTTTTTTGCATTTTATTTTTTAATTGTAGCACTTCTTACTAAAAAAAACAATTATGGTAACAAACTGCACAATTTATTGCATTAAAATTAAATTGATACATTCAATCCAAAATGATGTGTTCAATTAAAAGATTAGATACTTGATGGAGACTTTCAAATGACAAATTTTTGAAATTAGTTTTATTACAGATATTTATAAAAAAATCACTTTATTACCTGTTAGATAATGTTTAAAGTAGATTGTGAAAGTGTCTAATGTTGCTATAAAATTAAAATGTACTATAATAATTTCTAATATTTAAATCATAGACTGTGCAAATATCTTCATGCGATGATTAAAGAACAACTTACACTATTTACAATATTTTAATCATATATTCAACATGTTGATTATGAATTTTCATGGTTTTTGGTTTAATAATGACCAGATATTCCAAAGTAAACCATTGTATGTGAAATTTTACTTGCGCATACTCTATGTTGTTTGTAAATAAAAATCAATGATTAATAAACAGGATTATTTATTTTTATTTTAATATTCTATACATTGCAGCATAGTTAAAATTAATGATTTAGGTCGATTCAGTGCACAAACAGCCTTATTTGTTATTATAAATTATAATATAATAAGCATATCACTGTAATAAGATACACTATAAATAGAAACATCTAAACTTAAATTAATGCATTGTATGCAAACAATTTTATATATATATATATATATATATATATATATATATATAAACCAATCACTAAAATCTATAATGCATCGAGGTATTCACAGTTATTATTCATTCTTTTTGTTATTTTCTTCAGTTATATTTTCAACAGGTTTCTTTGGATTAAACTTGCAAACTCCTCCAGCACAGGTGAAAGGAAATTCAGGTGTTTTGTTTTTGGAATCGTCATCATTTTTCGCCCAAGGATTCCATACAAATTTTAAAAATAGTGGCTGTACAAATAATCTCCACAGAAAAAGGAGAACAGGGATAAAAATACAAGGTACACACACCATTATTGAAAATATTTAATGTTTGAAAAAATTTCGCCTTAATGTATAATTAAAAAATTGATTAACTGTATATTTGGCAATTCATATTTTCTGATTGACATTTTAAATGTCAATCGTGTCGCTGGGTGTCACTTTGATGGGTGCCACTGGGTGTCAATTTGATGTCACCAACCGCAAAATACTTAAAGATCTGTCAAACTAATTTTTAGATTACCGATGAATACAAATATTTCAACTGATAAAATGATTAAAAAGACATGTTGATGGATTTGTTTCATTATTATTGCTAGTTTTATTTTTTAATGTCATTATTCGTGTTTAGGAAATAAACCAATATATGTAAGTACCATAACTACCTATTCTCAATTAGTAATACAGATATACTTGTTTATCTATAATAATCTTAAACAATATAATAATCATATATAGAATAAAATTATTATTATATATACATATATATATATATATATATATATATATAATATTTCACATACATTATTCTTCTATATTGTTTCAATATGTCGCTTTTTATGTGTATATAATAATTCATTTATCTGTATTTTAGGATTTAAAAATGGAGCTTTTGGAAAATGGGTTTGATAATTCGGATCACATAGCACGTCTTTTGTTTGAACCTCCAGTAAGACCAATTTCTAGTTTCAGCATAATATCTATTTCATCGAATGAGGAAAATGGTACTTTTTTTATAATGCACTAGCAAGTAGATACTCTTGTGTTAAATAAAATATTTACTTTTATATAATTAATTATTGTTATTTCAGTTGATTATTCAATGTTATTAAGTTAACTTAAATAAGTATTAATTATTTATTTTAGATAACAATATTGACGCTTTTGGATTTAAAAAAACTGCATAGTTTTTAGGGTCTAAATCAGCTTTTGAACACTAAAAGAATTTTTAATTATAATTGTAACATAGTGTAAAATGTAATGTTATATATATATTTGATTTTAATAAGATATAATTGCAGATCCAAAATGTTTGAGTTCAAATTTAGTTAAGAAGAAAAAAAAGCAAAAAAAGAAAACTAAAGCTCAATCTTCTGAGGAAGCAAAAGAATCTAATATCACCAAAAATCAAACCAATAAGAAGAAACATAAAAGTTCTAAAAAAGAACGAAAAAGAAATAAAAGTGTTGCAAATTCACAAAGTAAGCACATAATATATAGAATGACACATTCTTTAAGATTGAAATGAAATACTTATATGTTTATATTTTGAATATTTATTATGGTGTTATGTTTATATGTTTATTTTGAATATTTATTACTTTTCAGACTTAATATGTAATACTATAAAGGCAGATCCTGAAGACTCTGAAGAAATTTGTCAAAATAAAAAGGAACAGCAAGATTGTAATACTACCGATGTGTTGCAAGCGACACCAGAGGAGAAATATATTGTTTCAATAGGTATTTTGAAGTACTTGTATTTATTACAGGATTTTATGAACCTTTTACAAATATGAAGTTTTCGAATCATTTCAGATAAAATAACCAATATATTAAGTTCAATCAGCTACTTGAAGAAAGATAAAATTAAGTATGTTGAATTTGGATCATTTCCGCAATTATTGAGTGTACTAATACCTAATAGTTTTGATTACTGTTGGTCTGAAACTGCAGGTTTATTTTCTTTCAGAGATAGTTCAAAATATTATGGAAGTATTATTTTTGATGAAGATTAGTCTAAAATTTTTATCATCGATAACTAAAGTTATACATTTTAAGTTAATTATATAATATATACGTAATAATTATATAATAATATGCACATTATTGTATTGCGCAACTATTAAACTTATTGTTGAAACTTTTTACATATTTATACATTTTTTACTAATATATATATATATATACCATTTGAACAGCTTTATTGAAAAATGGAAATAAGCTAACAACAAAATTTTAATAAATTTCTTCTTCAAAAATTTCTTGTCCGTATATCTTCATTTTTTTTTGTGTTAAGTTAATAGAATGGATTTTTTTAATATTAATGTAATTATTACTTCAAACTATTTACTAGAAATATTTCATTTTATAGATATAACAAATATTTATTCATTAAGGGCAATTGTGTTCAATAGACAAGTTTGCCAGTCTGTGCAATTTAGAAATAAGATATTCAATGATGACATACTATAAAATCATATAAATATCATCTATTTGCTTCAAACAATGTCACTTAATCATAAACTTTCTATTAAAAGATAGACTATCAACAAATTAAGGTTTTAAATATTTGATGTCCTGAAATGGCCATATTCGAAAAACAGCACGGCTTCTAATTAATCCTAAAGGAACAGGTCCATATTTTCTTGAATCTGAAGAGTTTTTATAGTTATCTCCTTCTAACCAAACGTGACCACGAGGTATAATTTCATTATTTTCAGATCCTACGTATGCAGGATGATAAATGACATCACCAGGCAACCCAATTATTCTTTTGCAAATGTATTGCTTAGGGTTTGATGGAGATTTTGCAATAACAATGTCCCCCTTTTTCAACAAATTCATTTTCGGACTAATGTGTTCAGTGAACAATATATTGTTTGATAATAATGTTGGTTCCATTGAAGGTCCGCTGCACTTAATAAGCATGAGTAAAACAATATTGAAAAGGTATGATATTTGCTGTTTTCATATACTTACAATAACAAAATCTCCGACATATTCACAAATGCAATGTGTTATACAACCGTATTGAATAGTGTACCCCAAAACTGTGGCAATTTTACTAATATATTTCTTCATTTTCATATTCAACTATTTTGTAATTTTAACAATTGATTAATAATTTGAATGTGTTATTTAATAATTTATAATTTAAAACAATTTTTAACTATAAATATCATGTTATTGTCCGTCGAAACTATACAAAAAGTAACAAAAAATCACTGAAAAAACTTTAAGGTTAATTATGTAGAAATGTCAATTGAATTACTGGGTTCGTTCCATCCGAGCAAATCTGACAGTCCGAAACTGTTTCAAACTAGACCAAACTCTTCTGATTTTTTTATGGCAGTTGGCAATGGTTTGGTTTGGATACATCCAACGCGTTCGAACCCGGAGCTCACTCGATAATAATAATAATTATTATTTTAATACATAAATATATATATATATATATATATGTGTGTATATATTAGACATATTCTAATAAAATATTACTTAATTATCAATGAATTTGCTTTTTAATATTTTCTAGTTATATATCGTTATGTCGCTTTGATCTAATATTCTACAATATTTGGACTCCTGTAAATTCATTAAATTTTTAATGTTCTATTTGAGATTAAATAACATTATATTTTAATCGTATTAAATTGCGGAGTTTTCGTTTGTGCCGAATACAAACACAAAATGATAGTTTCAAACTCATCGGACTGCTTGATGGAACGCATTACTGACAGTCCGCAACAGTTTGAATCCGAAATTTTGGATGGAACAGAAAAAAGTGTTCTGCGCATGCGCGGACAGTTCCGGACTGTCAGATTGGTCGGATGGAACGAATTACTGTCAAAATAGTTCCTATTAAAATCTTCATTTGTGTAAAAAAAAATTAAAAGCATTGGCTAACGCGGAGATGCCTAATAGCTCTCAGTACTGCAACCAACAATTAACATAATAAAGCAAAAGGCACTTTTAAATATAGATGCTGTAAAGATCTCACATAAGTGAAAAATAAATGATAGGTCACATCTATTTTTCAATATTATATTATGATCACACGTAAATACAAAATAAGAACTATATTTTATTTATTAATTATTTTTTAACAATTTTTTTATATGCTAAATCTTATGAATTTCATTAATATCATGCATAATGCATGATATTTTCAATTAATCTATTCAGTGTATAAATTATATATTTTATAATTGTTTTGTTTGCTAATTCTCACACTTAAACTAAAACAAGAACATCCACAAATTAAAAATTAAGGATAGTAATGAAAACTTACTCTAACAAATTAAGCATTGACTCAATTATTTAAATATATAAAAATGCTTATAATATACTGCACATTTAAGATAATATATGCAGTAAGTCAAAATGAATGTAAATATGAAGCTAAATTTCAATATATGTTCTTTAATGTCAACACAATCAAATGTCATAAGATTATTTTAAATGTATGTTATCTATGTACAGTCAATTATGCACTCAATTTACTTTATTTCTTTCACATATGCATCTAACTCAGCATCCAGTTGTTCAGCAGTTGGTGCATTTCCTCTAGAATTATTTCGCCCTCCACCTCTCCCACTAGCTGCTCCGCGACCTGCAAACAGGTAAATAATTAATGATAACCAATATATACACATAATTAAACAAATATATTCATACAAATATTATACCTCTTCTGAAATTATTCCTCGTGTTTGCGCTTCTATTTCCTCTATTTTCAAACCCTCGTTTATTATCACTTCGATCAGAGAATCCCATTCGTGGTCGGGTAGAAGATGGTATTTCAGAGGTAGTAAGCTGTATATTCATGGCCCTTCCATCTAATGGCACACCATTATACTGTTTCATTGCTTTTACTGCATCAGTGCGGCGTTCAAAAACAACATCAGCAGAACCTATAATAAAGAGTATTTCAATAAAGCAAACATTCAAGCATCTTTGAGGCAGTGTTTATTATATAAATTATAGAAGGTAAAATATTTATGAATACTAATCAAAATACTAGAAACTAACCTAAAGATCGCCCTGATCTATCATAGTGTACAGAAGCACTTTTCAAAGGTCCAAATTCTGCGAATAGTTCTTGTATATCAGATTCAGACACACCAAAATCTAGATTTGACACCATTAATTTTGTGGGCCCTACACTTGCTGCACCATCAGATCGTCGCATCACAGTTTTTTTTCCACCGAACCCATCGAACATATCATGTTTCCATGCACTGTTCACATCACCCTGAGAACGAACAGTTTTTACATGTGGACACAAGACTACACTACTAAATAAATATGCGTTCAAGATCACACATTTCTCTGACAATTGATAACACTTACTTTTGAAAATGGTAAATTTTGTGGTCTCGCAATACCGCCGCGGTTTCTGCCCCTTTGAACTCCCCGACTGTTTCTATTAGAGCCTCGAAAACTGTTACTGCGTTGCGGATTTGATCTCCTTGCACCACCGCCTCCGCCACTACCACGGCCTCTTTTTGATGCTTTCGACTTCTTTATAATCTCGTCTAAACTCATTTCAATTTTATCCACCATTTTAACAAATTTGATAATACAATTTGAACAAACAAATGCGTTCAACTAATGAGGGTTTCTTTATTACAAAATAAAACCCAAAAGAATAAAATACGTTCACAAACAAAAGTGACAAACGCTTCTGTTTCCAATTCCCAAAACTTCCAAACAAAATGGAGTCATGTGGACCGAAATTCAATCTCCAAAGAAGCACGGAGCGAAGTGACTGCTAACCTTAAATTTTTATCCGGCAGCGGCCAACGGCCAAAACGTTGAACTAAAAGTAACACAAAGAAACAGTACAAAACGATTGTTGGTATGTTGGTATTGCAAAATTTAACAAGTTTCCATGTTTAAATTAATAAACTTGACAGCTAATACTTCATTTTATAGTGGCAAATTTTAAATTAATAATATGGACGGTGTTAGATGCTTCTTTGATCTATTAAATGTTTAAAAATAATAAAAAGTTCATACAATATACGGCTGATTGTAGAAGCTCACTACATCTAATGGCACGTTTTTAATATTAGCATCTCTTTATATATTTTGATTCATCTCTTCGCTGATTATTTGATGCACCTTTCTAAACCGGTAAAATCTTCAAACAATAAATATTTTGTTTATTTTTGTACTACCTGCCACTGATGTGTCAAGTTGCATTTACGTCTTTATGTTAGAATAGTGTTATAATTTATTTATATCATGAAAAACAACATGAATACTGCTGAAGTATCAAATGCTGAACTATCTGGTGATGAAGCTGAGGGCTCATCAAGTGATTGTAGCACCACTAATACTGACAATACGTCTCGCAGCGTTACTCCTACAAGCAGGATCCGAAAAGGGCGCAAACGTCGTAAAAAGTTAAATAAGAGCATGACAAAACCTTTATATAAATTTGCCTATTGTTTAAAAGAAGACCATGGTCAACCTCTATTCGGAGCGCAATTTAATCATCATCTTAAGAATGGACAACCTCTAATATTTGCTGCTGTAGGCAGCAATCGTGTATCAGTTTACGAATGCACTGAGGAGGGAACCATTAAATTGCTTCAGTGTTATGCAGATCCAGATTTAGATGAGAATTATTACACATGTGCATGGTCTTTTGAAACTTCTTCTGGAAACGCTTTATTAGCTGTTGCTGGTTCTCGGGGTGTTATAAGAATCTTTAGCACTACTAGTATGACTTGTGTTAAAAATTATATTGGTCATGGTCACGCAATAAATGAGTTGAAGTTTCATCCTCGTGATCCTAATTTATTATTATCTGCAAGCAAAGATCATGCACTTAGATTGTGGAATATACAAACTGATGTTTGTATTGCTATATTTGGAGGTGTCGAAGGACATAGGGATGAAGTTCTTAGTGCTGATTTCAATACTAAAGGAGATAAAATTATGTCTTGTGGGATGGATCATTCCTTAAAATTGTGGAAATTAGATAAACCTGCAATGAATGAAGCAATTAAACAAAGCTATCATTTTAATAGTCAACGTAGCACAAAACCATTTGATACAATGAAAGAGGATTTTCCAGACTTTTCAACTAGAGACATCCATAGAAATTATGTAGATTGTGTTCGATGGATGGGTGATTTTATCTTGTCAAAATCATGTGAAAATAGCATTGTTTGTTGGAAACCTGGCAGACTAGAAAGTAATGACCTAAAATTTGGTGAAACATCAGTTACAATTCTTCATCGTTTTGACTTTAAAGATTGTGAAATCTGGTTTGTTAGATTTGCACTAGATTTCTGGTTAAAAGTAATGGCTCTTGGAAATCAATCTGGTCGCACCTTTGTATGGGAACTTGATGCAACTGATCCAAATGCAGTTCGTTGTTCTACTCTTAGTCACCCTAGAAGTAATTCGGCCATAAGACAAACCTCATTTTCTCGAGATGGAAATATTCTTATTTGTGTATGTGATGATGGAACCATTTGGCGATGGGACAAACAGATTTAAAACAAAAGGATGATAAAATATTACTGATAAACTTCTTCTACACCCTTCATGAAATTTCAGTATAAAGTGCTTATACTAGTGGGAACTGATAGATAAGTTCTTACTTCTATTTTTGTTTCATGCATGTAACTTATCTGGAATACAAAGGCCATACTAAAGATTTGAATGTGTATTATTTTGTACTCAAAACTTTGTACTTACCATGATCATTCAAACATAAATATCTCACATCATAATATTATTATGGTCCAAGTAAATATTAGTATAAGGTGATTAGTATAAGGTTACTTTTATATAATAAACGTTTTTGTTATAATAAACTTTTTCTTAAACAACTTTCGTTTTATTAATATTAACATATGAAAATATTTATCTTATATGGATATATTTTGAATGTAGAACGCGAAAAAAATGTACCGTAATAACTGATTGTATTGTTCGAAATTGTTAATATTTAATGAATTTGCGTGAAGTTTGATCATTTCAAATTCAAAACTTTCGTGTACTGAATTTACGCGATGCCAACATAAAGAACTTTGGATGACAGAGACTTGTTGCTGTTTGTGATGACATTCTGTAGTTTATTTGACAGTTCATAAGCAATTCCTTGTATTGCATTCTCCTTATGGATTGTAATAACAAAAACGTGTATTTCAAGAAATGTTTTCAAATTTCTTAGTAATTAGTGTTTTATATTGTGGACATAAATAATGCAACAACATGGAAGTAGAAAAGCCTGTCATGAAAGGATACCTGTTATTTCCTCCACAAGGAATAGTGTTCAACCTTACGAAAAAGGTATTCTTTTGCAATTTATTTGAACTATTGATAAATATTATCTTTGTAAATGTATGTTATATTCTAGAAAATATGGACTCAGAAATACTGCATGCTATTTAAATCTAGTAGTCATGGAATTGAAAGATTAGAAATATTTGATTCTATTGAAGATGTTAATAATACTACACCAAGAATCATCACTTTGGAGAATTGTGTAAAGATAACAAAAACTGCGCCATTATACTTTGCCATTATTACTAAAACTATAGTTCATCATATAGGTGTTACATTGGAAGATTTGCTCTCACCTTGGGTATCTGCCTTTCAGTCTGTTGCATTTAAAGAGGACATTTTAAAAAATATTTGCATAGAGGAAGATAATGAGCTGTATTGCACTTTATTTGAAGATGTTTTTACTGTAAAACTCATCCCTTCTGAAGCATCAGAGAGATGTGGCTTTGAATCTACTTTATATATGCTGTACTTAACAGGAAACGCAATTCAACTCTGTGATATTAAAAATGGTGCATTGATAGCTACATGGCCATATATGTATATTCGTCGATATGGTTATCGTGGTGGAAAGTTTACATTTGAAGCTGGTAGGAAGTGTTTTACTGGTGAAGGTACTTTTCATTTGGAGCATTCAAATCAACAAGAAATATTTCGCAGCCTGTCAACAAAAATGAAATCAATGAAGAAGCTCATGAGTCAGGAATGCATAGTTAGTTTAGATTGTGCTGATAGTCAATTTCATGCTGCTATGAATATGGAAGCTAGATCAAGAAGTCCCTTTCCACCATCTATTAATTATTCAACTGATATGGAAAGCCCTAGTAATTTTAAAATTAAGACCTTTTCAGAACCTGCTGATGCTAATTTAACTTCCCATAAAATGTTGTCATCAGTTAATACAGCATCAGTGCAACCACAAAAGCCACCTCGTAAGTTTATTTTTCCTAATGTTACAGATAAATCTGATAGAGAGGTATTATCAAGACATAATCCTAAAGAAGATAAAGAGAGCACTGTTAAAAATGTAGTTTCTCCTATTGCTGATAGCAATAAAGGTTCTAAGTATGACAAAATAATGTACAGGAAAAATGCATGGAAAACATTAGGCTTAGATGAAGTTAATCACACTGAAACATTTAATTCATCTCAACAGGAACTATTGTTATCTTTTAAAAAGAGATCTAAATCATATGATAATTTGAATATCAGCTCTGAATTATCTTCAAACATTCTTACACAATTGTCTGATAATAAGGATTCAGATAACAGTTATGACAGATTGCAGTATTTTGGATCAAATAACAAACTTAATAGATCATTTGGTTACAAATCAATAAATAATTTGAAAATAAAGCCTCCGGATTCATTTGTTAAAGTGAAGGATAATGGTGAATTACTAGAAAATATACAACCAGCAAGGTTAGCAGATGATAGTCACCAAGGTTATGGAGTAATTAGGAAATCGCCTAAAGCTGCACCACAAGTGCCAGTGCCTCAAAAACCAATTATTCCCCAGAAACCTATTCTTAATGTAAGTGATGTAAGTCATATTCAATTTAATGGCACACAATATGCATTAGTAAGTAAGGCAAAACAAGTGTAACTATTTCTATAAAGTATTTTTATATATTTTATATTGCCATATATCATTTGTTTGCAATGAAATTGCAAATAATATACCCTCAAATCTAAAAAGGACCATTTTATGAAAATTGTTGATACATTATATGATAAAATTTTATTAGTGATATATTAAGTAAAATTGTTCTATATGAAATTTTTGTCATATTATCAATTATTTATTAATTTAATTTTGCTTTTCAACTAAAAATGCATGATTAACTAATGGAGCAGCATAAATATGATTGCACGTGACTTATGAAAATGCAACTGAAATCTTTAACATTTCTCTTTACATTGTTAAAGATTTTTATTGAAGTTAATTATATTTTAAGGATATGTTTAACAAACTATGACAAATATTCTTACATGAATAATGAGTTACATGAATATTCAAATATTTATAGTGTTTGAAGTTTGAGATAATTTATCATTGTTTCAATATAGCTTTATATTACCAAACAACTAATAAAATTTGTATACATTTTTAAAATGTGTTTTTATTTATTAAATTCTGCTATAGGATTATGAACATATTATTTTCAATAATTAGTGAAGAAAAAATAAAATTTGTTTACATTACTGTAAACATATTTCTACACTTTTGATATAGCATATTTTTTATAATTAATATTCTCCTTTTCAATAATTTATTTTCTATACCACATTTGCAGGGTTTTCATTCGTTTAACTTTCTTTTGAAGCTGTAAACAACCATATAACAAAGCTTCTGCAGTTGGAGGACATCCTGGTACATATATGTCAACTGGTACTATTCTATCACAACCCCTGACTACAGAATATGAATAATGGTAATAACCTCCTCCATTAGCACAACTACCCATAGAGATTACCCAACGTGGTTCAGGCATTTGATCATAAACTTTTCGAAGCGCTGGAGCCATTTTATTTGTAAGTGTTCCAGCAACAATCATAACATCAGCTTGACGAGGTGATGCACGAAACACTATACCATACCTGCAACAACAATAACATTTATAAATTCATATTTTAGGCATGTGATTAATAGTATTCATAGTAAACCAAACATTCTTATGTTAAAAATCACAATACCTGTCCATATCATATCGTGGTGCAGCCATATGCATCATCTCTACAGCGCAGCATGCCAAACCAAACGTCATTGGCCACAGAGAACTTTTGCGCCCCCAATTTAAAACATCATCAAGTCTAGCTAGAGTATATTCTCCCCATGATTTAGTATTTTGGAAAGGTGAATAGGGTTGTTTGGGGGCATCTGTTTTGCCATCTTCGTACACAGGTAAAGTTGTTTGTTTTCTTGACACTAAAGCAAAGCTACCCCTCAACAAATTGGTATCCAATTTTATTGGATTGTTGATCAAAGCAGAACGCAACATCTAAAAAATACGCATGTAACACAATTATTCACAGAATATTGTATAATTTGTATTTCCATTACGAATGTGCAAAATTATACTTCGATATATTGCAAAATTACCTTGAATCAAACCTAAATTAAAACATTATTTCACTAAATTACGCGTTTTTCACATTTACATAATAGTCGACAAGACCGTTGTCAAATAGTTGGAAGAATCCAGCGCCAATTCGGGCTTTTACTAAACTAAAGAAGAATTAATGCGGGGCACATAACAAACATTTTGTAGTTTTTTCATATTGGAACCAGTTAGAAGATTTTGAAAAGTATTTGAATTATAACAGACAATTTTGGATCATAAAGAGTTGAATTTAGAGCGGTTTGAATCATTAAAAAATGTCTTAAAAATATTTTGCTTTGTAATTTCCTTAAATTTTCTATAAATTATCCATTAATTATATCTTCACGATTTGAAGGTTGCTGAACATTTTGGCATACCTTAAAAAATTGATGTGTGTGTGTATATGTATGGATAAAATTTTTCGTCTTCGATTTGAATGGTTAAAAAATATTTGATTCTTATTGATAGGGAGATGTGCTGATTAGTTTTTGTCAAAGGCAGGTCCAGTTGTTTCGGAAATACCGAGCAAAGATTGCAGAAAATAGAAATCGTGTTTTGAGAGAACAAAACAACCGATTTGGACAATCCAAAAAATATTCAATTCATAATGATAGAGAAAAGTGGTGATTAGATTTTGGCAAAGGCAGGTCTAGCCGTTTTGGAGATACGGATCTAAATATGGTACGGGAAATTCCAGCAATTTGCCTTAAAGCACGATGCCACACACCACCAGTTATTTAACAAATTTATTAATTTTTTTTTATATTATAGAACATGATGCAATTTTAGTACGGGCTAATGGACAAAAATTGTATATTCATTGAAAATTTAAAGAACTGATTTATGTATTCTAAAAATTAGCGTAGAAAATATTTTATAATGTTGGTTTACAATTAATATTTTATAATATTGGTTCGAGTATATATCTTCAAATTTTTAACAGATCTATGAAATCAAAATATTTAATATAAAATTATGCGAGCTTTTAAATATATAACATTGGAATTTATTTTGTTAATAATTTTGAATTTGTTAGTTTTGAATAATGAATTTATCTATACGTATTTTTGTTTAGAAACTAGACAATAATGAATATATTATTCATATAGTACTAGACAAATTATTATATTGTCTAGGCATATACTTTTCTTTTATCTATGTGTCTAGGGTACCAGAGGTCTGTCTAAAAAATTATTTTGACAATTTGACATATGGCATGAAGCCCACAAAACAAGGCTTTGAATATGTCATGATTTTGACATATTGAAAAATTAATTATTGTCGCAAACCGAAAAATTATATAAACATGATAATAAATGATATATAATTCACTAAAATGGATGATATTAGCGATTCAGAAGGCTCTTTATATGATAATTCAGAGGAAAATTCATATATAATAGAGCAATTCGTACTAGCAGTAACTGATTTTAGCTCACAGTATGGCAGTGATATTAGTGTTTCATATACTGCTTATAACATTTGTGGTAAACCTTCCAAATTTCCAGATTATGGAGATTTTTCACAATCGTTTGTGATGGTAAAACTAAAGAATTCAAATATTTATATTTAATTAATGAATTTGTAAGTAAATTTTATTTTAGAGAACTTATGGCAAGTGGTGGAATTTAGCACCATCTCGTCTAGAACCTTTTATGCCCCAAAATGAAGGAAACATAGTTAGTGAAGATTTTATAGGTGCATTCTATTAATAGATCAGTAAAGGTTTTATATATCTTTATGTAATAAGAATTCTTCTAATGATTCAATATATTTTGGTTGTTAATTAATTGTTAGTATGATGAAATACTCAATAGTTCATCATAGTGTTAAAGTATTATCAAATACTAATTTATTGTCACGCTATATGGTTATTGATTACTGTAACATTGCTATTAACCAAAAATCCAAATATTTAAAATATATTTTATTTTTTAGCATCGCATTTTAATACTTTGAAATAAATATGATTTAGTTAATTGCTCAATGTTTTATATAACAAAAATTCTGCAGAAATATTATATGAGACATCAGTGTATCCAATATGTGTAAGTTTATTTGAAATTTATAACCCTGGGGCTTTGGTCAGGATTTGGGCATCTCAGCCAGAAGGATGTTGGTCATTATTATGGGAAGGAAAACCTGAAATTATTGGACATAAACCTCGCATGTTTACCCCACCAATTCAAACAACGAAATACCCCACAAAGTAAACATGTGATGATATTTGAGATTATTACAAACTGATGTCCAATTCAAAAAGTATAATTATAGGTTTTTTTGTGTTATTTTAGATTATTACGTTTAGAATTTAACCAAAGCCATTTGGAATATTATACAGAACTTGATGCAGTTCTTCTGACTGGTTCTAAATTGCCACTGAATTCACAAAATGTTGATGTCAAAGAAGAGAAAAGTATATCCACAATTGGGAATGGTAATAAAAAAATAGTTTATACTGTAAATAGTCTATTCGTACTCTTATTTTGATAATTTTTAGGTCAACTGGTGTCAGCAATTTGTAAAATGTCTCTTCATGAAAATCTGATAGAAGATGAAGATAAAATACATGAATTACAAAAGGTAGTTAATGATTATAAATCAAGCTTGAAATCTAAAGAAAAGAAAAGGAATTTAGGAATGATATCCTGTTTACCAGTAAGTATGAATCATGTTGTTTGTAATAAAAGAATAAATATGATGCTTTTCAGATTTGTAATGGAATATGGCAGTCTGTATTTTTACTATGTTTTAATTTCTCACAAAATAAGTTGTTTGAATAGTAATATTTATATAAATATCAATATTTTATGTAAAGATTAATGTAAACACATACATTTCATATCAAAACAAAACCTTGTTTTTCAGGATGAGACCATTTTGAAAATACTTGGCTATTTGGATTTAATATCTCTATTTCGATGCTCCCAAACAAGTTCTTACTTATATCTTCTTTGCACTGATCCAATGTTGTATACCGTGTTAGGTTTGAAACCCTATTGGCACTATCTGAATGTTGAAGCTCTGCAAACATTGTCCGTCAGGTGATTACTATAATTTGTTTATTAGCCTTAGATTTTTTGTCCTTAATATTTGTTTTTATTTCATTATACTCGAATGAATAACAAAACTCATATAGGATTGTGGTACTTTGTTTTCAGAAGTAAATTATTGCAGAAATTAGATTTATCCTGGTGTGGTTCTTATGGTAGTTTTAAGGAGGAGCATTTTACCAAGTAGGTAATAGTAATACATGGTAATAAATTTTATATCAATTTGCATAACATATCAATTAGGAGCATGTTTAATTTACAAAAAAAGAAACTAATTTTATAGCACTTTAAAAAACTAAATTATGAATTTTCAGATTCTTGAAGAATTGTGGTCGCTATTTGATAGATTTGCGGCTGAACACTTGCAAATTTGTAAGTAATGACACTTGCTTGAGTATCTCTCAATACTGCTCTAATATAAAAGGTAATGAATCATAGATTATTCTATCATCTTGGATTTTCTTGATAGTTCAAGATTGCTTAAAAGAAACTTATATAATTATCAGTTTTTAAAGCATAAAATAATACTTTTTATTACAGAAATTTGTCTACGTAACTGTGCCAATATAAATTCAGTAGGTTTTCAAAAATTGGCAAAGCTTAGAAATTTAGAACGTCTAGACTTGTATCGTACTAATATTGAAACTCTTCAACTTTTAGAGATTCTCAAACACAATAAAAATCTTAAACATCTTAATCTAGGTGAGACTTCTTTTTCACTATTTTTATTATTAGATATGTTAATAGCACTGAAATGGTTATAATATATTTTAAGGCTCTTGTGCTCATGTATCAAATTTAGATGAAATTATGAGGCAATTATCTATAACTAATCAAAGTTTAATTTCCTTGGATTTATGGAAAGGATATTCAATAACATCTGTTGGAGTACGATTTTTATCAAGAATTTCTTCTTTAGAAGAAATTGATCTAAGTTGGTGGTAACAAGTTATATTATTATCATTGTTTGTAGCATGTTATATGATTTCTTGCTCACTTTTTTCAATTATTTGCTATCATGAATATTAAATATAGATTTTATTTTGTAAAATTTTTCAATTGTTATTGTATAGCATGGGAATTGGTGAACCGGGAGATAGTCTGCATTGCTTAGCAAAAGGATGCCCCAAACTTAAAAATTGTTTTTAGTGGCTTTGAGAGGTATTACTGACTGGGACTTGCAGTTTTTTCCATCTTTATGCCCGAATCTTCAGCAAATTGATTTAATGGGAATTAGAGGAATAAATGCTGAGATATGTCTTTCGTAAGTACTTATTTTGAATTATTGCCTACACCTAAAAACATATAAATATATTTACTGGCACAGCTTTTTAATATTGTTTTATAACATATATCTATATTACCGACAATCTAATATATTGTGGTAAAAACATATATTTTTACTTGAAAATATAATTAAAAAATATGTCTTCAATTTAATTCAGATTTCTCAATAATTGCTATGATCTTCAACTATTAGATGTAAGTTTCTGTGATCAGATTAAAGATTCACAGGTAAGATGCTAACAAGCACTTTATTCATTATATTCTAATAAAATTCGTTTGGATAGAAATAGAACTTGGTTTTCAGGTAGCTGTTTGGCGTCAGCTTTACCAATCAGTTAGTATAAAACGTAGTTTTCAATCCAGTGGATCTAATAAACAGCTGGTGATGTTGATTTCATATGTGGAAATACTATTGTGATTATATATTATAATTTATTAATTGTATATAATTCATTTTATGATTAAAATATTTTACACTTATTAAATATTTTTACATTATCCTGATGCATGGTAATATTGTCCAAAGGTACGCGATTTCCGAATTTTCTGCATATAAAATCACACATATATATATATATATATATATATATATATATACATGTACATATATAATCTTTAACCTCCATGGTAAATAAAAAGGATTTTTTAATCTTTGAGAAAGTGTGGATACCATCTATATATATATATATATTATATATAATATATATATATATATATATATAAAAATGGTTCCGACGCCACTGTATATTATATATATAATATTAT